CAAAAGACGTAACGACAGACGAGCAGCTATCTGAGAGAAAGAGAAGCTGTTTCGAGGAAATTATGAATCGAGAAAACGACCACGGACTCAAATGAAACATTTCCCACAAATAGAGTCCACTGCCCGTCATTTTTTAGAAGCCTTCCAAGCTTAAGAGCGATAGGATATTATTACTGGCCAAAGGGTCGGTTGTCTCCAACTTCTTGAAAAGTTAACTATTAGGTAGCTTAGCAGGAGATTGGAATAAGCGGATTTAAGGCAAGATTAAGTTTTTTCAATATCTTGGTGAGCTAACTAATAGTTAAATTATATGTCTATCTTTGTCAGATTTAAAGGAAAAACAAAGACATGTGATTTAACTATTAGTTAACAGCAGGGTTGGGTAAGTTACCTATTTTTTTAACTGAGTTAAATTAAAGTTAACAGCTTTGAAAATTTAACTTATGGTAGTTGAGATACAAGTTAACGCATAATGAAATTAATTGAATTAAAAGTTAAGTTCCTTTCTTTCCTATTTTTTTTTCAGTACCTTGACAGCGAATCACGGAAATTGGAGTAACTTGCGCTCGCGCAAAAAATTATCCTCATTGTCCGCTGGCGCTTCGGCGCTGCGTCGGACTATAATTTCACGGGCCGGTCAAAAGCGCGTAGCCCACACGTAGAGAAAAATAAATTAACGACTTGGCCCTAATTGCACGTTCAGATTTTTACGGGCGACCATGTCGTACGCGCGATGCGCGCGAGATTACAAACACATTCGAATGCGAGAGTATACGATTTAGGGCTGTAATTACTGCGCGAGCGGGCTCGCGCGCGCGGTAAAAACTCGGGATAAAACGGTGCTGCCTCTATTAATTACCTATTACTTAATCGCGGTCTCTTTCTCCCGCCCCCCTCCCGCCCCTTCGTCGAGCAGAAAACGGCGGAGAAGAAGCGTAAAGAATAGAAGCGCATTCAAGCGCCTCGCATTTGCGCGTCTGTAGCTGTCGATAAGAGGACTTGGGGTGCGAAAGATCGCATCTTTCTCCACGCGAGCACGATTATGCGAACACATTTTTGCCGAAACGCTTTTGCAAGCCGAGATGACTCCGTTTATACCGTGTGACCTCACGATTATGCAAACCTCAATTTTTCTCTTCTTTTTCTTTAATATAATACATTCGACGCTGCCTGTCAAACGTCGAAACTTTTGTCCCGAATTAGCCGCGATTGTACGGTTCTACAGATCCATGAATCGTGCGGGATAGTGATGGCTTCGAGAGGGGACAGATCCGCGCGTGCGGGAGAATGCATATACTCTAGGGGAAAAAAATGAACGAAGTAAACAAATAAGAGAGAAGCGAAAACATTATGAAATAGAACAGACTCGGTATAAAATTAACATACGGCACAAAACGTTCTTTAACATTTCTTAAGGCTAATTATGCCGGCCCGTCGTAGAGCAGTCGATTTGCCGAGGTTCCAATAAAGGAACCAACCAGGCAAACTAAGGAAGAACCGTCGGGTAACAATATGTCAAAAAAAGCCCACGCGTTACATCGCATACATACATATTCGTAACGAATGACAAAAAAAAAGATATTAATGGTCCAGGCTCCATTTCCAACACGCCAGCGGATGTCGCTTCTCGCATAAATTGTCACGTTTCAAATATATATTTCCCCCCCCCCCCCCCCACGAGCGGCTCACACGATTTCGGACGCGTCGAGGTATATACGCGCACGGTAGCGGGCCCCGGAGATTTAAATAACCGGAGTTTACGATCACGATGTGCCCCGCTCTTGCGAAACCCCGTTCCGCAAAACGCGCGTTCGCCTGCGTATATTATCCGGCGGAATTTATCGTCGCGATAAATCGCGCCCGTGGCTCGCCTCAATGTTGCAAAATTTCAATTCCACGCCGATTCGGTATTCCGACGTGTAGGCCGATTTTTCATATTTATCGCCGTGGTCGAGAGGGGCCGCCGCCGAGAGACGACCGGACCAGGACCCGCCGATTGACATTTATAATCGCGTGGCCTTCGCGCGCGCGGCGCTGCATCTCGTGCGAGAATCCCTCGCCGGAGTTGCCGATCTAATCAAGCGGCTTTCGGAAACGTGGCGCGCTCGCTTCCGTCACTCACGCGGCATCGGAGAGAAAGGAATAATTGTCGCCGCGCTCGCGCTACTCTCGGGCGTTGATTATCCCGCAGCGAACCGTCTTTCTGACGTGCGATTGAGGCGAGCCAAGTGGCAACGGGGATTTCGATGAATTTAGAAGCCGCGTCATCGGTAACGGGCCAGGCAATCGATCACGGCGCCGTTCCCCACGCTCGTGGTGATCCGCGAGGCAAGAGAATCCTCTTCCTCGTCAAGGTTCCTCGCGTATCTTCGCGCACCGCTCTCAGCTGCGCTCTAAGCGTCCGCCAACTGTCCCGGGATTTAGGTTTAGTCAGCTCAATGAGCAAGTGAGCTCATCGTCGAAAACCGAATGCATTTTTTATGTTGCGCATTAAACCGCGTATTTCTATCAGTGTAACAGCGTTTACATTTCGTCTTGTTGAGACAACACAATTTTTTCCGTGTACCATTGATTGTCAATTCAACTGAGTATACATTTTCGATTATAGCTTAGAACTGCGTTTTATGATCGAAAATGCCACTCGGCAGTTTGCTGTGTAGAGAAAAAGATGCACGCACTGAGAAAAATGTCCGATTAAATATAATCGGATAATCCAATTGCATAATAACAAACGGACACGTTCGATTAAATTGTATAACCGATAAAAAAATGTGGTCGGTTGTTCAATCAAATTTCGTCGGATGTATCCGTAATTTAATCGGAAAACGTAATCGGAAAAATTAACCGTCGGAAATACTATTTAATTGGTTTATCCGATGAAAATTTTTCTCAGTATACGAGAAGAAAATCAGACAGCAAGATCCTGCCCGACCGTTAAAAGCTTCCCTATTGTTTGCGTAAACGGTCGAATATTACTTATGATTATTAAAAAATATTTGTATTAAAAAATGTAAAACGATAATGTGCACTTCGGTGCAACATATTTTGTTTCATCATACAAGCTGTAATTCATTGGGTTAAGACCAAAAGCGAAGGGTTTAGCACTATTTCATTGATGAGCCCTTAAGAGAGCAATCAGGTGGACGTCCCGTTACCCGCCGAATAGAAACTCTGTCTTTAGAAAGGCATTAGGGACATCAAAGGGACCGATGCTCGAATTGGAGGGCACCGCGATGGTGTCTCGACAATGAGGCGCGTCCCGACGTAAACCCGAGTCGTTAATGAGATACAATTCACGGATTACAAGCCTTCGTTGCGCTAAAAAAAAAGGGCGTTACTCCTCGGGAGCGCACATCAATTGTCTCGACCTCGCGACTTGCGCGCGTTTGCGCAACGCGACGCGCCGTAAGGGAATCCCGTTTTCTCGACGTATCTCTTTTTATCTCGCGTGTCGCCGCAGATAAGGACGTTAATCGACGTTGATGAGCAGCGTATAATTAACGGCGTCACGGCGCGCGTAAATAGGAAATCGAAAGTGAAAGAATAGCGGCTCGACGACTCGCCTGCGGTCTCAGACCTTGCTCTGGGCAAAAATGGGACGTAAAATTCGACGTTCGAAAAATTAGACGGAGCACAGCCGGCGATGGCGCGCCGCACACGTCCTCCAGGATTCGGGAGGGTAAAAGCAAAATAAAAAAAATAAACGCACCACGGGCTCGTCCGGGATTTGAACCCGGGACCTCTCGCACCCGAAGCGAGAATCATACCCCTAGACCAACGAGCCGCTTCGGTAGGTTGCCTCGATACGAAGGTACTAGAGTTACGGCCGCGATGTTGTGCTAAATTAATTAGCGATCTTACAGCGCGATTGCGCGAAATATATGCGATTAGCGTTCCACCTGCCGCGCAGGTCCAGTCACGCTCGTGTGCATTCGGATTTGCGCCTGTCCCGCGAGAAACGGAAGTAAGCGTTCTTACATCTTCAGGCGGATTCGCGAACTCGGCTCGGAGATTCGATCCGAGTCACTGCAGCCGACGGCGTTTTAGCGGAAAGAGGACTCCGCTTTTTCGTCAAATCGATTTTCGACCGCAGTTTCTCCGATAAAGTTCCAATATTGCCATCTCGCTTTTCGATGTAAAATGCAAGCGATATTAAATCAAACAAATCAGAGCGCCTTTTCCACCTTGTCCTGCGCGCCGGTTTCTTCTTAGACATAACACAGTTACATTTGGATGGAATCGGCCAAGTAACATTCAACAAGCAAATTTTGGGTATTCGATAATGAATGTAAAAATTTTTTTTATTCTCATTTGATGAGATTCTAAAAATTTAACTTTAGAATCTCATCAAATGTACACGAACCTATTAATTTACATTGAAATTGCACGTAATCTCGTATAATCCGGTCGCATTCTCTTTATTGTTTTGTTGAGCAACGCTTAAAAATACCTAGGATCGAGGTTATGTTCCGAAATGTTTCTTCGTAGAAAAAATTTACTAGAAAGATAATAATATACTTACACGCGTACACTATAAATTGTCAGTGAGCACAAATTTTTCTCTCGCATAAATATTTCGGAATATAACCCTAAGTCTCGGGTGGCTTGGCGCTCTCGATAAAAATGGTGGGCACATGATTGGCTCTGAGTGGTCAATCATAAGCTACGTATAAGCTATAAGTCAGAAGGATTGGATTTTGGCAATCTTCTTATGATTGCCGCGTTCCGACCTGTGTGAGTATCTTATAACAGGCTCATAACTCGCTTACGTCTTCTGACTACTGACTTCTGTCTCGTTGTCGACCGGGCTTGATGGTAACACGGTTTGATACCGCGATATCGGGAGCTTTCCAGCAAGCGACACAAGTCGACACGAGTGTCGTTCTGTCTTTATTATTCGTTGAAAGATGCGAAGAAAGACGAAGAACGACATTTGTGTCGACTTGTGTCGCTTGCTGGAAAGCTCCCATCGTAAGGAAAGTACTTCGCGGCGTACTTACGAGTAACGTAAACCGTCGCCGCTTCGTCCGGTTTCCCACTCGTTTTCCTCATTCTTCGGTCTACGGAGGCGCGCGAACGACGCAGTCGACGTAGTGGAGCGGCAACGAAAGGAAACGATTAAAGAAACCGTATCACTTACGCGCGCGATTGATCGGGGGATAAAGAGAGGCGCGAGATGGGGATGGCGAAATGGCGGGAGGAGACGGCTCGGGGACGGCGCCCGGGGTCCGTGGCGCCATCTGTGGCCGGGGAGGACGATTCGCGTTGCGTGCTATTCGCCTCCGACCTCCGCGCGCATCGTTTCATCGTAGAATAACCGGCGCTGCGTCTTTTTCTCTTTTTAAGGAATGCATGTGGCCTACAACAAAGTTGCGGAGAGGTCACGAAGCGTGGGTTGCGCAATTACTTTTCATCGCGCGAGCGTAATTGCGGGATCCGCGTTCGCGCGTGGAGAGAAAAAAGTGGAAGGAAGGGTAGGTGGGGGTGGGGGGCGGGGCGGGGCGGGGGGAGAGTCTTTGTGTACCCGTTTTCGTCCGAGACTTATGTCGAACGCAAACGAGGGTTTCGTGAGGCAAATTCTCAGCCGGGGGCTAGAGAGTTTAGACTCTTTGGGCGCCGGAAGGGGAGAGAATAATGAAATCCTTTGCTGAAATCCAATAACGAATAACCCGAATACTCGGTAGCAATCCGAGACAGTAAATAACATACCAAAATAGAATGTCTATTGTCGGATAAAAAGAACGGCTTCTAAGGGAAAACATATTTTTGGTTAAAAAAAAGAGTTCACGTACCTACATATTCATTCATCAAAAAACACATTTGACCCGGAGAAAGTGGAATAAATTCCGCGAATCTATGGATAGAAAGGAATGACGTAAAAGGACCGTTTTAAAACGTTGCAGTTCTTTTTTTACGACTGTCTTTTTACGAAAGCTCGGTATTCTCCAGCCAAAGGGTCCAGTACAAGCCTGCAGGATTCGATTTGACATACTCTCCGCCGCTTTATGACGTTCCGAATTATTTTAGCACAATGAAATCCATTTCTTTTTATTGTCTTGCTCCTTTATCCCTGGTCAGGAATTGTGGGTTACCGTTTCTGAGCGAAAGTGGTGTAAGTAGGAGCAAACCTCAGCAGGCATCTTTTTAGACACACTGACCAACCTGCAGGCAAAGCATCATAAAGTACCACTGTCGTTGAGAAAGAGCGGCTTTACGAACCCGTTCAATGGGATCACATCGCTGACCGAAAACCGTGATCCTTACGGTTCACAACCGAGTACCCTTCGAGGGACCACGTTCTAACTGTACTTATAATTCAGAATCTCAAAAGTCTATTTCGAGGAAACAGTTACGTCGACGATAAGAGAGCGCGGGGATTTTTTTAACAAAACAGAAGGCCACGCCATGTGTGAAGAGTGATTGCTGGTCAAGTCTAAAATATCGCTTCGGGCGACACACGGAAAAAATGCTGTCAAATTAAAAATAATACAGTGGCTTGAATTAAACGTTTACGTCACGGGCCATAAAGATAAATAAAAGACTCAGTTGTACTTGGATTTCCATTTCGAGCATTGAACTAAATATCCAGATTTTAAGGCAACTATCTGATGTTTCATTCAAACTGATGTTGTTTCAACCATTTTACTTCAGTTGCACTCAATTACACTTTACTGCAATTACTGATACTATTGATCAGGGTTGGGAAAATTACTTTATGAAAGTATCTTATAGTTACAGTTACAAGTTACCAATTCTGAAAAGTAACGCGTTACAGTTACTCAAAAAGTAACGAATCGTTACTTTGCAGTTACTTTCTCACAATGAAAATAAAAATATCAAATCGGCATTTGAATTGCCAAGCGTCGTTAAGGTGTTTATGCGCAAATGCAAGGCCTGATGCGATCTGTGGAGGTTTAAAAAATATATAAAGTAACTATTAATGTGTAACAATATTAAATTACCCAGAGAACACGCATGTCTAAAAGACATCTTTAAGGCGTCTTCTAGACACGCATGTTCTCTGGATAGTTGCTAGTCATCGAAAAAATGTAACAGCGTTAAGTTACAGTTACAGATGGAGAGAAAGTAACGAAGTTAAGTTAGAGTTACCAAAAAAAGTAACTGTGACTTTATCACAGGTAACGAGTTACTTCTCAACCCTGCTGTTGGTACATCGTGTTTTCAGACGCGCAATGAATTTATCGCCGAGCGAGTTCGCGGTCTTTCTCCGGCGACGGTGAAATTTTGCGGCGCGAACAAGCGCGAATTTTGGTTTCACGCGCTCGAAATGTCGCTCGGCACGCACATGCCGAAGGAAAGCGGCGGCGATTTAGGCACGAACGAGGGAAAATCTCGGCGAGCGTGATCGCCGGCCCGTTACAAGCACTGAATTTAATCGGCCATCAAGCACGAGCCGAGATCGACATGTCGTCACGGTCGTCCCGCCAAGGACGTGCCTCGAGAGCCGTCTCGTTGCATGCGTACGTACGTATACGTACGCGCAAGTGCGTGATGTACCCGCGCTGGAATCGTGAAACGGGATAATACCGCGCCGCGTGTAGCGCAATCGTTTCGACGCACATCGACATCTCGCATTAAATGTCACATTCTAAACAGCGAACCATTGCGTAAAGCGAACCGCCGTAAATCGTTCCCTTGATACAGAAGCGAGGCGCGCGTATCGTCGTCGTCGTCGAAGCCATGAGACTTTCCCACGTTGCTCAGACTCGAAGAAAGTCACGAAAATGACCCTAATTCGTCCGACATTAGGCCATCGCGGGGGGGAAAAAAGACACTAATCGCGACGAAAATGAAAGTAAATCTCCCCCCTCCCCGAAGATTAACGTATATCGAAAAATTAGGATATTTAACTGGCTCCTCGTTTTTTGCGCAACATCGTGAGCTTCAGTTGTATCTTCCAGAAAAAAAAAGATTAGAGAGTTTAAGGTATGTCTTCTCCCGCTGTGGAAGGAACCAATTAACTCTAACAACGGCTACCAGACGCGTGCTTCTGATAAAGTAATTTGTAGCATTTGTTCCGAGTATCGCAATACTGTTAGACACGCAAAATCGGAAACTCGACCGATCGCTTTCGCACGATCTTATCTCGATTTTGCGTAATTTCTGGTTTTTTGTGCTTAAACGCTCATCCTGGGAATTTCAGCGCAAAAACCAGAAATTGCGTGAAATCGAGACGCGACTTTGCGAAAAAAGATCAGTCGATTTGCTTCCGAAGCACTCCGAATTCGCTCCATATCAGCATCCTCTTGCATCGTGCTTTTTGCGCTTTCTGACCCTGAGCATCGGTTCTTCTCGGTGCGCGTGTGTGTGCGGCTGAAAGACTATAAACTTGATTAAAAAAAGAGAATGATAAAATTAATCTTTTCCGCGAGAAAGAGGGAAAAAAGCAGAGCTCGTGGATATCGCTTTAAAAGCCCACAAGTGCCTGTGTGTCGCAGGTCTAAAAAAAGGATAGGAGGGGTAACGCGAAGAAAGGAGTAGGAAGAGATGAGAAGAGAGGGTAACGGAGTGAAGCCCCTCCCTCGTTAACCCCCACCGTACCCGGAGAAGGATTATCCGGTCCCCCCAGCAGAATCCCCCACCAAGTAGTCTGACAGGACCCACGACCCACCTGTACCACTCGGTTAGACCGTGCACGCTTCTCCGCTGATCCGACGCACAGTGTGCCTATAAGGCCCATTCGAGGTATACTTACGAGTCCGCGCGAGCGAACCGAGCGGCGATCCGCGCGACGAACGAGCGGGCGAGCGAGCGGAGAACCGATCGGGCCGTCGAAGTGGGACCGCGGAAAATAAACGTGCAGAAGTGGGGGCCGATTCAAGAATCGATGTGGACACCCTCGCCTACCAAAGTCATTCACCTAACGGTCATCGGCGCGTCAGGAGTCCTCATCTTCTTCCGTTATCCGGTCTCGCCGATCGCGGGGACTCGCGTTCGCTATCGGTCGGCGCGCGACCTGTTGCGCGAGAGGAGACACCTCGGCCAGTTTCCGGAGTCCGTGTCGTTCTCCAAACTGCCCGCGGGGGAGAAGAGTGCTGATCCCACGGAGAACTCGATTTCGAGCATCGAACAGTGAACGACGGCGTTATCGAGTTGGTGGTGACGAGAGACTTTCTCGAGGACGCGCGCATCTTAGTGAAAAATATATTTCTGAGTGTGTGGCTAACCGTGCGGTTGTGTGTCTCGCTTCTCCCCGTAGCCGGCTGTGGACCATGGACAAGATCTCGCGGTGTCCGGCGTTTCTTATAAAATGGCGAGAAGTGTCCCGAGAGATGTAGGTAGCCTCGGAAAAGCTTCGCGACACATTGGAATGCTTCGTCTGAAATCGAGTCGCTGCTGAATGCTGTTCGTATCTACGCTGCGTTAAGTCATCGTAACGACAAAAGTACGTATCTCCCGATAGTACGGTACAGTTAAACGATATCGAGGCGCGGTGTCTATCAAACTTTATAACAACATCTCATTATTTCTCCAAGTGATTCTTCAAAAATATAAATTTGCCGAACGCGTCGAAAAATCAAAATGATCCAGAAGAGAGAAATTCATTCGAAGTTGCAATCGTAACGAAACGTTACCGCGATGTTGTTCAGCTTAGCGTGTAAGGGTACATCGAGTTAACGTTCAACGTTACGTGCTCGGTGCGATAATTAATTCGCTAGATGCGCTCGTGCCCGCGGGAATCGTATTTGATGCAGTCTTAATGATATCGAACCGTGTAATTCCGCGTCATGCCTCGGGAACGACAGTGCGATCGAACACGCGAGAGCGATGAGAATCCGCCGCGGAATCGGTTCGTCGCGGATTAGGCACCGCGATGGGTTTTCGGTCGCGGCTCGTCAGTCCTGATGGACGGTGCCGCGCGCGTTGCCGGGCCCGCTCGTCCTCGTGGACCGTGGAAATTTATTCGCGGCATCTCGCGCCGCGACGAATCGCCCGCGCGTTCGATCGAGGGCCCCGGTTACGACAATGGAATCGGAAATAGCGCCGCGGTGCGTTGCGTCGCGCGCGCAATGCGAAGGCCGATCGGCGGAACGCGCGCCGCGGAACGCCGCCTCGTTTCGAAAGAACGGAAGTCACTCTTCGGAAAACTGGAGCCCTCGTCGTGGCTGCCGCGGGATCGCTTCCCCGCGGGGCGGATCGATCGTCGCATCGATCGCCCCGGCTCGTGATCGTCCGCTAATTTGGACACACGGATGCGCAAGCGGTCTGTTGAACGGTAGTTTTCGAGCAAAATCCCCGTCGGCCGCCGCGCCGGACCGCTTCGACCCACAGACCGTACAAATCTTGTCATAACTTAACAAAAAGAGGAAAGAAAGTGTCACTAGATCACTAAAAAATACGCACACATTTTTCGGTAGTTTGAAAAGGTTGGAATTCGGTTAATTAAGAATAACCCGGTCAAATCATAAAAAACAGTCATAAAATGCCCTTTCTCGGGTTAACCTTTTTCTAGAATTTCTCTGTATTCTTAGAAAGGGTGCTCTTTTTTATTGCGTAAGGCTGAAAGAAGGGCTAAGGCGGAAACACTTTTTTACATTAAAAAAATTGGCAGTAAAACACACCGGTCCTTCTGGAAAAAAATTGCACGCACATTTTTGTTCTTCTAAAAAGATGACCCGTTACTTTCTGAAAGAGTAAACTTGATATATAAGGACATTTTTTTAGAAACATAAGAGTTGAACGGCAATAAAATTCTGCCAGCCATTGTGCGAACTCTAAAAAGATGTTTACTACTTCCGCGTTAATACTTTTTTATCCTTTCCGTTTTTTTAATACGTGTCACTGTGAATCTTACGAGCCTCTGTGCAAAACAAAACTATGCCTTTATTTATCGCCGTTATTGTTGAGCGAAATTTAGGAATTGGCAAATTTTTTTACGATCTCGACTTTCACGTCCTTTTCGGGTATTCGCCCCGTTCCTCTGGAATCTAAAAAATTATGCAGTCTACTTCTGTCTTCTTCCGTAACTCTAAAGTATCGGCACTACTACCTTCGCTGCGAGATGCAGAGCATATAGACTGGCTGATTACAGTTTTATCTCCTTTTTCTTTACGCGCATTCTTGCGCGATTCTCTAGTCACACGCTCCGGAATCGCAATCGTAATAATTATCGCGATCCTGGAACTCCGTCCGCTTCATCTATCAAGGTTCGCCGCGCTTCGGCGTTTAGCTTAGCGGTGAAAATTTTGATATTACGTAATATTATTTCCATTCGGGCAGCTGCTTTTTCTCGTTATTGCGCGTTTGCGACGTAGTATTAAATTGCGATCTCGATTGAATTTCGACGAAATTTTCAAATGACGCCGCGCGCCCGATGGAATCCCGGTATCAAGGTTAAATGTGAACTCCACTTCGACGGGAGAGTCCTTTTTTTCGCGATGAAAGATACAGCGGGTGGTTGAGAAGGTCAGCGCGGGAAAGGAGAACAAACGCGGCGCGACTCGCAGAAATTACGACGACCGATCGCTTTGCACGCATCGTGACAAGTGCTCGCCTCCCGCGGCCATCGTCAACGATCGCGGAGACTTCGCGCGGGAGTACGTTACGATTCTCACGGCTCGCCGGGGCCTGTTTGGCACAACAATCGCACGCGGTCCGCAAGGCCGGGTCCTCGCGGCGGTCCCCGACGATCTTGGCGATGATCGTTGCCGCCGAGATCCGCCCGCGGCGATAACGCGCGTCGAGCCTTATCGCCGCGCGTCGCGAAAACGCGCGAGCGCTTATTAATAGTATCTTTATGCCCGCAAAAGCGGACCACCGTCGTCGCTCGGCGCGCATCGAGGATACCCGGGGCGGTTTACGTGGCTGGAAGTCGGATTCGCAGCCTCGTGCTCGTGCGTTGTGCGTCTACAATGCATGGGCTAAGCCTGGAGTAAGGAGTAGGCAAGGGGGTAACCACTTGATGCAATCGTGGGACAGTGTCTCCGAAATCATTATGAAATCCTTACGAAATCCCCGTGTAATCGTTTTGTCTTAATTTTCAAGTTTCTTCACTCGTTAGACAATAAACATTAAATTTGAACGTTTTCTCAGCTTCTTTTCATTTCTCTCCCAAAAAATTATTTCTCTTAGTGAATATCCAAATATATATCATAGCTCACACCTATAAGCGCGTATTCTTTTGATAATAAGACTGAAGTAGTTGCTGTTAGAACAACAGCGAGTTGAAACGTTGATACACCTTCGCGCGCAAATTTGGAACAATAAACGGTAAATACAAATACAAGATTACTTTTCGTTAAGACCACGGTTAGACTAGTGGGAAAAGTGGGAAGCAAGGGAACGCGTGACCGAATACTACAATCTTAACCGAAATTACCTCTGCAAGCAAATACTTCTTAGTAAAATAAGAAAAATACATTTTGAGGAAATTTAACAGCTCTTTGAGATTTAACAACGTTACGTATTTTTAAACGTGCATACAAGAAAATTATTTGCAATTAGATGAGATTGTTCGTAATCAGATGAAATCGTGCGATCAGTGGGACATTTTAGCTAGTGGTTACCCCCTCCAATCAATTTGATTTCTTACTCCTACTTCAGCTCCTACGCTTACCGCCATCGGCGAGTATTAAAAAAATTATGCCTGTATTTTCGTTTCCTTACACCAAAAGCCGAAAGTTACGGTTCTCTCTTGCTCCTTGCCCCAAGCTTACTCCACGTATCGTAGCCGACGCTTCACAACGCGACGGCGCATCGCCTCGTTACGACACTGGCGCAAACGGAGGCAAGAGTCCAGCTCTCTCGTTGGCCGCGAGGAAACGCAAGATCTCGTCCGGAAGCTTAAAGGAAGAGGACACACGATAATAGCTCGCAATCTTTAATCCCGCGCGCGGAGTCGCACGGGCTATTACGATCACCCAGCCGTGAATCAGCTATTTACATGCGCCGACCGCGAGATCGGCATAACAAGTGCACGGCGGCCACTTATCGTCGTCGGACGTAATTGTAAAACTCCCGATTACACCGAATAATTCTCACGGAGCTAGACAGACAGTTTTTATTAATCGCCTGGGTAAACCCAGAACGTCGTCCGATGTGATCGCGAATGAAAAGAGTTTCTCTCGCAATTTCCTCGTCTGTTTTTTCGTTCGTTCTTTTTTCTCAATCTTCAAGCTTTCAAATATTCCTGATAAAAGCCGTTCAGTTCGACGTGGGTGCACGCGACAGTGCCACGTGTCGTTAAAAATGACTTTAAAGTCACGTTATTTAGGAACGTCATAAGTAAATGTATGAAAACGAGGAAAAGGAAACGAGCGAGAATCCATAATTGATAATTAGAATTTCTAATTTGGTATCTCCAGTCGCCATAGTGCGCGTGATTGTTTGGCGATTTCTTCCATTTCTACGCGGAATCTAATCCGTTAACCTCGTTTGATTTTATCTGCCGACATTGTGTTGCGCTGTGTTGCGACACCTCGGCACGACAACAATATCATTTAAACATCGCAATCGCATCGGCACGGAACGCACTGCCGTGCATAGGAATCACCAGGTGAGACTTACCTGTTACCGGATGCACACCGCTAATCAACGCAGGTTGCCACCGATCAGGCGACGTCGGGCCGCTCGTCAACGCGGGCGCCGTTCTCTCTGCGAAAAATTCGAGCAATTAGGCCTGCAAAGTGAGACGCCTCGAGTGGCAGTCGCTAATAAGATTATACCGAGTGATCTGGCCAGAGTTGAGAAACGCGCGGCGATGTCGTTGGGTTTTGTCGGCCGTCGAGCGCCAGCGAGCAAGCCGCGACACGGATATCGCCGGTTTTTCGACGACGTTGGAAAAATAACGCAAACCGTGGCGACAGAACGTTCACGTAAGAGGAGATATTCGCGCCCCGAACGCGACTCGAAATAATAAGGACTAAATTATCGACCGTGAAATAGACGAAACGGACCTAACGCCGTGCTTAGAGACCCTGTAATCAGAGACTGGCCATAAGAGAGTTCGTCAAATTCCTGCGAGTAAGAGGGAAACATAGGCTATCTCACTCTTCTACGATCGCAGGAATTTGACGAACTCTCTTATGGCCAGTCTCCGATTACGGGGTCTCTACGCCGGGTCGGCGTGATGGCGCGACGGAAGTGCACGGGTGCAGGTGAGACCGGGGGGGAAAAAAAATACAAACACGGAATTGCAGACGCGAGCCGCGCTTGGTATGTCGCGCGGCAGAAACGGCGGCATCCGCAAATGATAAGTGTCAACGACTGTTGGGTGTAGGTCAGGAGAGACTCCGTTGATCAAACAACGTAGATGTCTTTTCCATTAGTTGAAATTTACTTTCCCATTTAGCGACGGTCCGCCACGTATGAAAGTCGCTGGAGGTAGGCACGGTTGTGCCCTCGGACCACGGCAGGCATCTGGGTCAAACGCTATTGTCCCATATTCGTGATCGCCGGGCATTTTCGGTGGAGAAAAATCCGTTCGGTGGAACGTCGAGAAGACCCGTTGCCAACGGTCGAGAAAAGGGTGAAACGGTACGCGTACAATGGAGGGAAGAGGGAGACAAACGTTACGGCGGGGACAAATGTTACGGCGGGGGTCCATCCCGTCCGTTTCCGATCGCGGTACCGTTCCGCTGGCCTACGCAAAAGCACGTTGTGCAAGGGACCACGGCGTGAAATAAGAGCGACGAGGTGTGAAAACGAGACCTCGTAGCCACGGTCCGTTTTCTGGACGATCGGCCAAAGAAGGCGAAAGGAGTCGGCGAGGAACTTGAAAGGCACGGGCGCGAGAAAGAGAGAGAGAGACAGACGAGGATAGCGGAGAGAGAAAAAAAAGCAAGCGCGCAAGAGTTTTCCGCTCGTTGAACGTAACACGCACCGCTTTGCCACGATCCAGCGGTTCGCGCTCGCGCTGCGCTGCAAAGCGGCGCATTATGCAACGCGCTTCTTCTCTTGCCCAATAGTGCGCTCGATCGGTGTAGGCGCACGATAAAGATTGCATCGTCGACTTGTCAAAGATACCGGCGCGTCCGATCTACTTTTCGCTTCCGTCGCGCAGGAAGCGACTCGCTGGCAGAAGCGTCGCGCGATCGTTTCGCGCCGTCGCATACGCACGATAATTTCGATATGTCTACCAGTCCGTTGGTTTCTAATATTTCCCAACGTTTTCTCGCGACTCGTCGAATCATTCGGGAGATATTCGATACGAGAATGCGACCGAGCGCGGAGATGTTGAACGATGAAATAAGGTTTAGGCGCGCAGGGCAGAGACGACCGAAAAGACTTCCGGTGCAAGTCTTAAGGGGATGCTGTAGCGACGGCTGAACTCCGACGGGACAGTTTGAAACTTTCAAAGACATAATGCGATACGAGTTAGACTTCAAACCTCAATGTTTCTTATATGAAAATATTCTACTGTGCAGTCCACAGACCGCTCTGGTATTATTTTCTACATAAAAGCCACTAAGCAGTATCACCCAAATTGTTAGTTTCGAGAAAACGCGCATTTAAGTTCTCATAGCTGGGCCGCCGCGAAAAAATGTGGACATACTGCAACGTGCATAAGTTATTTTGTGTTAATCCAGTGCTCTTACTGCCTTCCAACCTTGTAGGACAACGGATATTTCTCTAATGCCCGTTTCTACCAATGCAATTTAACTTTAATCTCGGTTCAACTTAATTTATATCTTTTTCTAGTTTTACGAATTAGAAAAAGATAAGAAGTAATTTAAACCTGGATCAAAGTTAATCTGCATCGGTAGAAACGGGCATGAGAAACATAGAAAGTGAGTTAACCACAATGGGCAAAAATTGGGCTAGCGCGTCCTGGGTACCGGCGAGGAATGCTTTGGCGTCTTTCAAGAAGCTGACTTCTCTATCTGTTTTGGAAAAGTCCGGAAAGCAGAACGACACGCAACGTGTTAGGAAGATCGCGGTTATCGTTTGTGTCAATAACAATCAGACTTTACCACTTACGAGCCGACGCTAAGGGAATAGACAAATTATTAGGTGGTTAGAACGGCATTGTGCGAAACGGCCGATTTCTTCCGAGTATCCTTAACAGAGCATCTAAGTTCTTATCTGGTCCAATTATCTAAGTAACGTGCCCACATCGCGAGATGCTAATTTACCTGTACACAGTCAGTTCGCCAATGTACTCAGAAACCGATTGTCTTCTATTGCAGATGAATCAACAGTGCAAGGTGTGCGGCGAACCAGCGGCTGGCTTCCACTTCGGTGCGTTCACCTGCGAGGGTTGCAAGGTGAGTCTTGCCGTTCGATTTTGAATCTCTTTCTTTCTTACGACACAATGGCACTGCGCAGAAATGTGTCGAAAATCGATTAACGATTGCACGTTACCTGAGTCCTTGGAATCTTTATCGAAATTTCAACTCGTATCTCGCGTCACGGCCCTCGGCAGTAAAAAGCTTCCTTGTCTGGTGCGTTTTACGCGCTTAACTACTGCCACGTAATTGTTACAATGTACGATGATAAACAGAACGGTTGCAACACTTTTTTTTTAAATGAGTTTAGGAACGCGCAGATTCCGGGTTACGTTCGAAAAGATTTTTGCTAAAAATGTATCTAGTTACAGTTACAAGTTACCAATTCTGAAAAGTAACGCGTTACAGTTTTACAATTACTTGAAAAGTAACGAATCGTCACTTTGCAGTTACTTTCTCGCAATGAAAATAAAAGTATCAAATCTGCATTTGAATTGTAAAGCATCGATAAAGGCGTTTATGCGCAAATGCAAGGCCTAACACAATCTGTAGAGGTTTAAAATGTACATAAAGTAACTAACTTACATTAGTTACTAATTATCAAAAAATGTAACTGAGTTACGTTACAGTTACAGTTGGAGGAAAAGTAACGAAGTTAAGTTACAGTTACCAAAAAAATAATAACTGTAACGAGTTACTTTCCAACCCTGATGGTAACCATATCGGTCTCTCCGTGCACGTTCCTAGGCTCGTTAAAGACAAAAAGTGTCCCGACCGTTTGGTCCATTGTTGTACGTCATCGAGACTGGAATGCACGTAAATGCATGCGAATTGGATGAAACAAAACGGTGACGCAAGATCGAATTTGCACTTATATCCTGTACCTCGCGTCGTACGCTCGAGATTCCACGGGGACGAGGGGGGAGGGGGGATGCCCGCGTTCCGGAGAATTGCTGTACCGAGAGGCAGAGCGGACGCGAGGGAAATCGGACTCGCCGTCGCAAAAGCGCGTCCGCGATCGAGAGGAAAGAGCCTCGCTCCTGATCCGTCGCTCTAATAGCCAGGAGTTTTCCTCGCCGATTCTTTCTCGGCCGCTGCGACGAGCGCTGCCGCGCCAGGGCGATGCTCTTTCCCGGCGCGGTTTCGCAAAGACCCCCGCGGGCCCGGGCAGCGAGCGATCGCTTTTACGAGCCGCTCCGTGGCCGAGGTTAAACGTTCGGTCAGGCATGCGTGTCAACCTGGTCCGAAGCGGTGCCGGGAGCCAGCGTCGAGTGCACGCGCCCGCGATTCAGTTGAAAACGCAACAGGCCTATCCGCGCGCCGCATCGGCGTTGAAAAAGTCTCGCTCGCTCGAAGCGTGAAGCGCTCGAAGAGCGAGAAAAACGAGAGCGGCGGGCGGCGGGGCAGGGTCGCGGGATCGCGCGGAGGAGGGGGAGCTGACATGCTACGATGGGCCTGAAAACGAAAATAACGAAACGAAACAATGTCGTGCTGACGTAACCGTGAACTAGGGCGGAAACAATTGTGGCGGACAAGTGCGAAGCGCCGGAAGCGGCGTCTCGAGGCGGCCCGGCGATCGGAACGAAAATGGCGGAGGGAAGGGGGGAATCTAGCGTGCGGCCCGGGTCCTCTGTTCCCTTTTCCTGTTAAATAATAAGCTCTCAACGTTGGTAATTAAATTCTTAAATGAGGAATTACTCACCGTGAGAAGCAAAAGAGGCCGAAATGAAAAGGGGGAGATAAAAAAAAGATTAGCTTGTTCCGAGTAATAACGAACTTATCGTTAGCGTAGCACCCGTTGTCCTCCGAGTCCATTTGAACTTAATCGCGGCAAATAGCGAGACGGCGTGTCACTCCAGTTTCCCGAATCCTTTGTCTCCTACCTCGCGAGCGCGCTAAACGAGTCTCCCGGGGAACTCGATGATTGTCCAAACGTGGTGCTACGAAACGAGCAATAGCGTGGCTTCCAAGTAGGACCGTTTGCATAACTTCAGCATGCGCGACGAACGAAGAGGCGTGCGGTCGGGGCCCGGGGAAAGAGGGACCGGTAATAACGGTAGCATTTTCTCAATTGTGTCATCGCTTCTGAAGCGTCCCGCGTTCCTTCTCTTCCTCGCGTAAGCGCGTCGCCCCGGCAAGAAGGTGGAGGACAAACGACGACGACGACGACGACGACGACGACATCGACGGCGAAAATAAGTGGAACGCGATGCCGGCCCATAGGTCTCGGCAACGCGCGCATCGGGACCACCAGGCCGCAGGAAGAGCTCGTTTCCAGGACAAACGAACCAGAAACGATTAATAATATGGCGTGCGTACGGGCAGAAAAAGCGAAAGTGGACAACGCGGCCGCGTGCGTCCCTTTAAACGCTCGCCGATTCGACGGCGATGTGACAGCCTGCCGGTGCGCCCGCCGAGCGACATATAAACCGCGACGATTGGGAAATTCTAGCCATCAATCCAAGCGAGGCGAGCCGAAACTGTCTCGCAACGACCTGGCTGTAAAAAGCAGCAGCTCGCAATGGCGATACGTTTAAAATCGTTTAACGCTCCGCGACGAAATTAACGTGTAACACATCCTAGAAATGTTGTCCTGCAAGCTATTTTCCGAGGGGGAGACCGCTGACCAAAATCTTTATGCCCAGTTGGCATTACTTTATCTTATTTTTATATATTTATCTTGTTTTATCTAATTTTATCTTTATAATGCCCCAGCAAGGCCTAATGCCCAAAAAATGCCTATTAACGCCTACGTAATGCCCAGTAATGCTGTACACTACAATGCCGTCAGCGGTTTTCCCCCCTCGGTATTTTCTTGGCGTAAAAATCTAGCGAGTCGCCGGTCCGTTGCGCGGGGACTCTATCTTAAAATCGCGCCATTGAAAGCACGCCATTCATCACGACCGAGATATTTAGAGCGATAATTTTTTTTACGTTATTCTCCCTCTGTGCGCAGAGAGGCGAGAGAAACAAAGAGAAAGAAATCTTGGCCGGCGGAGCGGGGGCCCGTTGTTCCCCATCTCCGGTACGAAAGCAACGAGCGCAGTGTCGGAATCACGTAGAATTGCACCATTTGGGCAATTAGCACGAGAACAGCGGGCCGCACGCGCCTCCGACCATCGACCCCGCCGCGTCCCCTCCCGCCCGCTCGTACACCATGAATGAGACAACGAGAGTGCACGGTTACACGCTAACGACTCCGGGCGTTGTGCTTGTTACAAGTGTTACAATGCCGTTGGTCGCAGTGTCGCGCCGATTATTTTTCACGAGCCACTCGTCTTTTCTCGTCTCCACCGGGACGTGGCTTGCACGCCGATGATTCCGAGATACCGTCGATGACAAATCGCGACTATCGCAATATTATTTTTGAGAGGCGTCCCAAGCCCGTAGGAAACGCGCGATAAAAGTTGCTCCTAGAATCGCGAACACGGGTCTGTGAAAAGCAAAGGGTATTCCAAGTATTTCAGTATCCTTGGGAATCCTTAAGGTTTTCGCTATTCAGCAATGCTGTAAAAGGAAATATTCTCGCAGGAGTACGATACGTATATACTTTCATTCTTTCTCGCTAAACAGATGTGCTATAATAAATGTACGTACATAAGATGCCTTTCTACTTCCCGAAGACTTGATACTTAATAATATAGTATGCGATTCAATTTTTAATTTTCGCGTGCAATTAAATTCTTTACTGGGAAATGCGCTTATTGCACCCTCCAATTGTAATTCGTACTTTTTAAGCATGGCATGTCGCGTCATTCCGACTCTCGATATGTTAATTTTTATCGCGCGCAAGCGAATGCATTTCAGTACGTTGGTGCTAATTGGCTCGATCGTGATTCTTGTTACAGTCTTTCTTCGGGCGCTCCTACAACAACTTGAACAGCATCGCCGACTGCAAGAACGACGGCAAGTGCGTGATAAATAAGAAGAACCGCACCGCGTGCAAATCTTGCCGCCTGAGAAAATGCATCTTCGTCGGCATGTCTAAGTCTGGCTCGCGATACGGCCGCAGGTCGAACTGGTTCAAAATTCACTGTCTATTGCAACAGCAGCAGCAGCAAGAACAGCAGCAGCAACAGCTAGAGCAGCAGATGCAACAGCAACAGCCACTGCAGCAGCGTGGTTGCCAGCAGCAGCATCAGCAGCAACACTATCAGCCAGCTATTCTCATGTCGCATCAGCTATCGCAGCAGCAACGCAATCCGGCGAGTTCGCCTATCCACGGCATTCACGGCAATCAATGCAGGGACGAGGCCCTGTTGATGAGCGCGGACGAGTACAAGAACTCCAACTCGCCCAACATAAGCTCGCCCGAGTCCCACAACAGCGACAGCTCCGTCGATGTCTCCGAGAGGAGAGCGGCCTTCGCCGGGCATCACGGTATTCGGTCGCTTCCGCACTTGCCACAGGTCGATCTGTCTACCCTGGGCCTGCCATTGGGCTTCCCTCTCAGCAACATGTCGCTCCTGCCGTCGGCCTTCCTGCCACCACCCAGTCTCATGTTCTCACCCTACGCCCACGTGTACGCGACATCACACAGCGCAGCCCATCCCCTCATGGCGAGTCATCCGTCCAGCATGCTGCAACGTTCGCCGGTGACCACGAGCGACGAAAACGATGAGCCCGCGACCGCCACGACGTCGACCATGACAACGACCGTAGCCACGACGACCGCGTTGGGAACGTCAACGTCGTCGGCCGACGACAAAGACTCCTACGAGAAAAATAACAATAATCGATTTTGCCTGGATATGGTCCTGAAGCGCGAGCAACGAGAGACCGCGTCGGAGAGACCGCGGAAGAGAGCGCGACTTTCCGAAGGTAGCTCGACCGAGTGCAGCCCGGAACGGGAAGTCGCCTGTCCGCCACCGCAGGATGATCCTATAGATCTATCCATGAAATCCGCCGCGACACCCGTTAGTGATCATTTACCGAACGAGGTAGACGATGAGATAGATAACGCCAGCGATGCGGAAAGCTCGGCTGCGAAGAAACCGATAGATTTAACGACAAGATCCTAAGATCGGACTCGGATTCGACATGAACGATTAGGATGAAACGACATTATTCTTCTATCTCCACTGATTGACATATATCGCTATCAGGACAAAGTGTCTCACGCTTTATTTAAATTTACCACAGACTTCTATCTACATGTCACCTAGACTGCTATTAGTTCAGTGCGGATTGAGCTCAAACCCCGTAAGGGGTAGCAGAGGAACGTACAGTTTTACAATTTTTTATTGTACCACCTGCGACTGGCACGCGACATCGATAACATAATGAATTAAAGCACGTCAAAAATATTGTACAAGTCAAATATGTTTCTAGCCTTCTGGTCCATTCACACGCTGACACATTGGGAAGGGCGGCTATTGTGAAGTGCTATAATGTGCGTGTCCTTTCGAAGATGGCCGCCCTTCCCCGCTGTTCGCCTTAGACAGCCATCGCTCGCAAACTGCATCAGCGGTCTAGATAATATATAGAAGTCTGTGTGAAATTTACTCACATACAGTTATTTTCCAGTTTTGTTTGATTTTCAAAACAATGGAACGCTTCGCAACAATTTTATTATTAACTGTACACGACGAAGTGGCGGGAGAAGAAGAATGTTGTTTTATCTCGCTATTTTCTAGTTACAAGACCCCGTGTATACACGAATAGTTTTCTCGTCGCATAATAGCCCTGTCGTTCGTATGCACGGGATCAAATGGCGGGGTAATCTTGTGGATTATCTTTTGAGAAAATTGCATTTTGTGCCGTTTGAAACTAGAAGTGGCGAGTCAAATCTGTGCGACTTTTTCACAGACTATCTCTAGTTTTATACAAACGAACGCCTTCGACATTGCGCGCTAACAAGGGAAATTACACTTCGATTCATTCGTTAGAAGTTCAAATGCGAAGTAGGAAAAGTGTTTGTTTATGTCGATTTAACATCTTTAAGTAACGAGATAAAATAGTTTATTACATCGATGAGGCATTTGCGTCGGTATTTATGCCTATGTTACGCGAGAGAGAGAATTTAATTCTGTGCGTACTGAAATTCTAAGTACGAGAAACAATTTTAAAGAATAACGCTATCTCTTCCAGTCTAACAGAAAAATTTTATTAATGTCTTAGAAAGGAAATATTAGTTCACACATTTCTACACTCATTATACTGTATATATGTATAATCTATACAGATTTATATGTACAATGAACAAGGTTGTCTTATAATCATTTCTCATGGACAGATAGAATGGGTTAAACTGAATAGAAAAATCCTTGTTTTGTAAGTTTCTCAGTAATTAATTAAAAGTTAATTGATAAAGATCTGCAAATAAGATCTGCATCCATGCGATTCGACGAGACGAAATCAAGCAGTCGTTCCATGCGTGAAAGCCACGGAGCGTTCATCATTGTTGTTGTTGTTGTTGTTTATCGAGCTCCTTCCAGTGTCTCGTCGCGCAACCGGAAACGCTAGACTGTCCCTTTTCGCCGAATCGCGCGGACGCTGATTCGCAAATCTTTACCAATTAATTTCTCATCATTTATCACCATAATCACAAGTTGTGGTTAATTGTAATGATTAATCTTTTTTATTTCAATGCACTTAAAAAGATAAAGCTGCCATCTAATTATTTTTATTCTATCTCTCTATCTCTCTCCCTTTCTCTCTCTCTCACTCGCATGACTTTCTTCCGCTATATAAGAATTGTATAGAAAAGCACGATTTTTTCTCAGTGTGTATAAAGTTCAATAGCGAATTTGAATGTGCTTTGACATTATTATTGTATAATTTTGTTAGTCGATTGATTTCTAACATATACCGAATATTGGCAATGTGTATTGGAAAAAGCGAAGTTAAAAAGTGAGAACGTTGTAATTTAAAAACTGTTATTAAATGTCACTTCGTTGAAAAAGAAGTTGACATAAGTTGTACATACATCTATTATACATATGTGCAACGTGCTAAGTATACGATTAGTTGTAGATATATCTCGTGATTTAGAAAAATTAATAAAACGTCGATTATATTTTATTGTTAGAACGTTTTTATTAGATAAATAGATTTTCCTTGAATGACCGAAATGAAAGAGCCACTCGAAAAAGGATTAATGACGGATAAGTTTCACCACACTTCTATTGATTACTGATTGCTCATGTATCGTGAATTTTAATTCGGTGTATCCGCCAACAACCAGTTACAAAAAATAAAAACATGCAGATAGATATAAAACATTGAAATCTTTGATCCCTAAACATATCAGATGTAAAATAAAATTATATTTCACTCGCGTAAGACTTGGCAAAAATGATTACATTTACTTAACCAAAAATTGAAAAAATAACAAAATTTACTAAACTATAAAAGAAATAATTTCGAAACGTATAATTTTAAAAAGCTTATATCGTTCCATGACAATTTTTCTAGATACAATAATAATTTTCTAAAATTCTCAATTATATCAAACTAAAATTATAATTGATTGTAGTGCGAGATTATATGAAACTATGTAATTCCTTCATTGTGTACTCTTCTTTCGTTTCAAATGTCAGGAAACGTGTACGGGATGTTTTAAAAATATTTTATACATTTTAATACCAAATCAAAACATGTTCGTGAGCGAAGTTATTGAAAAAGATAAGACCAGTTTGTTGATTACGAAAGTAAAAGGATAATTGTATGCGAACTTTAGAGAGAAGGAACTTGTACGCTTGTTGTAACAATAAATATTGTTTCAAAAAAATTATTGTCGCAAAAATTTCTGTATAGTCTAAATTAAATTGTGTTAATTGTGAATTGAAAGATTTTGCTCTTGGATCAAAACACAAAAATTATTGTCAAAAAGAGATAAAAGTGATAATAAAATAAGAACAAGCTCGGAAATAGATTGTCAGATGTGAGACATAGACATTTTACTCTGGACTTTTTACGATTGTTAACAAAAACTTAAATGTAAAATATGTTATGAAAATGTAAATCTTTACTCTCTCTTGTAGAAAAGCTATTTAAATTTATGAGAGCAATTACATCGCAAATTCAGTGATACACAAAAATATAACTTACAGAGATTTCTTTAAAATAAAAACGAAATGCAATAAACTCTACACTAATACACTAACAAAATTAATAATTAGGATACTTAAACATTTTTCAGATATTACAAAGGCTAAAGAATTCAAATTTGTAATAATTTGTTTTTTGTAAAGCGAGGTAATAACTTGTCAACTTATAATTTCCATGTCTTCTTTCAAACTTTCACATTTTCCATTAAAACGATTAGACGACACGATACAAAACTGCACATTTTCGTTCTGAAAAGAAGCATTGCTAAATATTTCTTTTTGTAGAAAAATTCTCTATCGGCGCATTACTGTCACTTTCGTTTATTCACAATATAGCGTGCCAAATAAATACTGACGCAAGTTATTAGTCCTCTAGATTTAGAATTATTTTTGTATCTGGCAGCATATGCATGTACATACACACAATATACATATACAATACGATATACACATATTAATATACACATATATTTACGTGGGCGTGAGTGCGTATGTGTGTTTAATAATGTGCGAAATTGTATTGCATGGGATAGATGTTAGACCTTGCACGTATGTTATATTTGAAAGGTACAAATTTAAGATAGCTCACTTTTCACTCTACGCGTGGTCACGGGGTAAACGTGAAACAATAGGAGAGCGGTATAAGAGAGGAAGTGTGACAAATAATAGAAAAGCGGAGTAAGATTCGACTGTAATATCAGGCGGCGTTAGTCATTAGTGTATTAGTACTAGATAATAACATCGTCACGGCCATAATATTGTCACGGTTTTTCGCGACGTCGGCTACGAAGATTCACATAGCGAACTGATGGGATTAATCCGCGTATGTTTTGTATATTATGAAAAATTAGACAATTGGTCGCGTATGAAGAGCAGTACTTTCGAATATTTCCAAGCCTCGTTGCAAAGAAACGCGACAGGCAGGCAGACGAATAAATGCAAATAAATCTGGTAGTACATGGGCGCTTCGTGTTGCTGTACGTGCTACGTTTGCAGAATCCAATTTTAAATTAAAAAAAATGTACATATATAATATCAAATGTAAATATAATGTTATAATTTCTGTATTTTCTGTATTTCATATTTTACTCTCTATTTTATGACGGTGTAAAAGCTCTGGAAAATGCCGGAGAACCCCATAGATAGCTTCTTCGCGCGCTCTTAGAAAATCTATAGGGAGAGCACGTAAAATTCATTTAACTGCGTAAGAAAAAAAAAGCCGAGACCTATTCGCCGCTGTAATCGCAGTGCGAACCTTCGCGAGCATGCGATGCGACGCAACGAGATACACGCGCGTGTTGAATGGCACGTTTCGCAGTATCCCCTAATTACCTCCTCGCGTACAACCGAAATCTCGCGAGCCATCTCGCTCCGCGCGCGAGCCTAAGACGCGCGAGCACGCGCGCTCCGCTCGCACGGGCGTCGTGGAAGGAAGGAAAAAGAAATTGCGCCGGCCGACGTCTCAATTCCGAGGCGAGCGCGCCGTCGATCGATGCTTGCGCAACAGCCAATCGTCTTTAACGAGATTCCACCGTTTTAATTAACGAGCGCGCGAGCCCAGCATCGCCCGCTCCGCTCGCTCGTTCGCGGTAATCACGCGGGACGAAGATGAACGACGGAGGGACGCGAGCGTCGTCCGATGAACACATTGCGGCGCACACGTGTACGCACGCGGCGTACAGGTATACGATGTCGGTAGCCGTTTCATCTTACAAACGCCTGCACGGCCGCCGATGTCGTTTCCGCCGCGGCGACGTTCCCCGTGGAACCCCCTCGTTCTCTCGCGCTACATCTGGCTTCGAGCAAGAAGTTCTCCGCGAGATCTCGAAGAGATTAAACAGCGTACCCGAGTCCAAATTTTGGCCCTATGTTGAACCTCTAATTCTATTATACAGTAGGACCTAAGACAGTAAAAGAGGTCGAACTGCAAGTTCAAAATTTACTCCTACTTAAAAACTGATAGTGTCGGAAATTTCTGCTTGTGCCAGTTTTAAGCATTAAAGTGGGTGCTTTTAAGTTGGAGCTAAAGTAAATTTTTAGAAATGAAAGATTCAAGGGAGGAGTAACAATATAATGTCATCAAAGTAGGCTATCGCTGGTCTATGTAGGTGTACAGATCAGCGGAGTAGGTGTAAATTATCCTTGAAAGTGTCAAAATAGTATCAAAATTTCGACTCGGGTAATTTTTTTTCTTTTTTTTATTCGTTCATTTACCCGAGTCGAAATTTTGGTACTATTTTAACACTTCTAAGGATAATTTACACCTACTTAGCTGATCTGTACACCTACCTAGACCAGCGACAGTCTACTTTGACGACATTATATTGTTACTCCTCCCTTGAATCTTTAATTCTAAAAATTTACTTTAGCTCCTACTGAAAAGGACCTACTTTATTGCTAAATTGGCAAAAGCAGAAATTTCCGAGATTATCAGTTTGAAAGTAGGAGTAAAGTTTGTACTTGCAGTTCGACCTCTTTTACTGTCTCAGGTCCTACTGTATAATAGAATTAAAGGTTCAACATAGGGCCAAAATTTCGATTCGGGTACCTTCCGCTTTTTAAATAACAGCCATGCGGCGTTTTAATACAATGCGGTTAACATACAAGACATAATTAAAGAGACTTACGTAATTTAGGTATTTCGAATCCTATGAGAATCAGCTGAATATTTGAAAAATAAACTTCTTACCGATTAAAATGTTTTAAGCCTTCTTTGAATTTTATCTCAAGGTTTGTAGTTCATTTTTGTAATTTTTGATTTGCGTTTAAATCTTTTAAAATAATGTATTATAATTTTGGCTCTCTTTGAACTGGATTGCAACTTTAACTTCGGACAGCACGTACATACCATTCCTTTCTTTAGGATTGCAATATTTATACTTGAGAGAATTCTTCAAGGACTTACCTTTCGCGAACGAATTCGCCAGGAATCATTGCGAAAGTTGAGAATTTCGGGGAGGCGTTTTTCGCTCTGCGTTTCGGTTCTGGATTCTCACAGGTGTCACGATTTTCGCTGTCGTTTTGTGTAGCAACGTAACCGTCGAACACAGCTTCGCTTTTAAGGGGGAGTTACAGTGCGATTTGTAGACTTGTTCACGACCAGTAGTGCCTTTCTGGAATTTAAGGCAAGCCGTACGAAGGACACACACGACCGCGATCCGGTAGACGAAGGAACCGTTCGATTCTTGTAGCCCGTGCGTGTCAGGCAATCGATACTTTGAGATTTTCATTGGAGAAAGTAGACAGAGAAGTTAATGACAATTGTATACGAGATATGATATCTCGTACAGTTATTTATGAAATTGAAAGCTGAAGTTTCGTACCGAATTAAACGTAAAAAATGGAATATTAGTTAATTAGCTCTTACCTCGATAAAAATATGATGTAATATCTAAATCATTAAACTGCTTAATGTTGAAAATTCGATTCATCCGACATGTACGACGGCCACCGACGTGTTCTGCCAGAGAAAAGAGAAAGTGATTTTAACTTTATTACAATAGAATCCGAAACGTTTGATACTGGAATATTCTACGTAAATTAATTCATCATAAAAATAAAATTGCGCCTTGTTACAGTTGATGCAGCGGTCAGATTTTCCCGCGTGCTTCCGAATAGATGTTCTAAAATGTTTTGCGCCTGGCGAATTACATTCACATGAGATTAGAAGATATTACGAGTTCATAAAAATGAGTATATAAAATTCACATTTTTAAATGCGCTGTCACTTCTTGGTTTAATCGCAATTCTAGACTTGCATCTCATATTTCGATAGAGTTGTAGTTATGAAATGCATAATTATTTAGTTCTTGTTGACTAGTGTTATCGTTGTGTCTTTCATTAGACATTTCTTGCAGATCGAATATAGTCAATAAAGGCCAGTATTGTACCAGTAGTTAAAATATATATACATTTATAAGATGTTTTATATCCCGGACATGTTTACTGTATTTACTCCATCATTTTAGTTAAATATATGTATATGTAATTAATCTCTTAATTATCTCGTAGACAATGTGTAAATAAACGATCGGCATGTGAAAACGGGACTAGGGCCAGTAAGTACTTATTTGTACACTGATGTATTAAATAGTAATAAAAGAAATTATTTTTTTACCACTTGAAATATGATCCGTTTAAATAAAACTCGTACCCATTCCCTTAATAAATAACCCGCAAAAGTATGTTTATATTTATTTTTGTCCACTATCGAGTACTGAATCAAATAAGTATCACTTAAGTGATCGAAACGGTAGGTTTGCCATTTATTCAAGAATTATTACAAAAAGTCTATAGATGCGTATCTGATATAAGTAAAATAAAATAATAAAGATACGTATAAGGGGTAAAAAGTAATCAGTCTTTGTGTATGACGTTGCTTTGAAGTGACATGCGTGAATAAAAAGAGTACGATTTGTGTGACGAATGAATTAAGTAAATTACTTTTCGATATGTAATATAAAATAATTCCCGCGGAGGGTAAATCACTATAATGCTCGTGACAAATATTTATTACGAGAGCAGCAATGTGTATGCAAACGCTGGTTTTATCACGGTATTTTAGTGATTAGATTTGGGGGCAGGATGACTCGGGGTGAAAACCTCGTAGTCGATTACCGAGAAATGATAGTCCCCCATAAGCAACTGATTAGATGCGTGGTCGCCGTCGTAGCTATGCGGGAGATTGCTGTAGCTCTCCTTGTTGACATTGCAGTTACTCGATATAAGCAGATCAGCTCCGGCACCAAAGATCGGCCCTATGCTGCAGTAGATTATATAAAACAACATTGATAACACGGTAGTCCAGATCTCTGTAAAAATCACGGCGGTCCTTACTCCGGATGGTAGCAGATCGCGAATGATTTTTTCACGATGTCGAACTTCGTCGGCGGTACGTCTTGATTGTTCGTCAATGTGAAAAGGAAGCTCTTTTCCGAGGCGATGTATTGCGCCTTCGAGTTAGTTTTACCCCACGGGACGTCGCTGTACCCTCCACATATCTCGCCGCGCACTCCCTGAGGCATAACCGGACACGCGCTTTGTAGCTTAGCCACAAGAAAGACCTGGATAACGATACTGCACTTACCAGCACTATCACGTACGTCGGGCAAACGTTGTCGCAGTGCCGGTGAAAAGACGCCGCTGAGTAGCCGTGAGTGGACGCTCTAGAAGCAATTATTATACTTTTTTAGCATCAGCATTGTAATTTCTACAATATTCAAAGTATTATTCAATAATTTAATACAAAGCCATGTATAGAGCACTGAAAGGGAGATTATCAACAGAGAAGTTAGGGAGAAAAATGAATGTGATATCACTGCGAAGTCACACTTCGCTTCTGAAAAACATTTCCTGCACGATATACTTTTGAAACCTACCGGTAGACCAGTCGCCATCCCTGTTTCGACACACCGTACCACTGATTCAGGACCCGTTGGAAGCCGACCTTGTCCCTGGAAAGGATCTGCGAGCCCGGAAAGAGAAACGGGCTCACTCGCGGCTGCAATCGCTTGTCGGAGCACACTTCCGAGTACTTGTTCGGCAGAGCTGCATACCTATACCTAAAGCGAAACGTCGAGATCGAAGGCGATACCGCCAAACGGCGAGTGCCGGCCCCGTTAGATCGTACCTTAGAAATTTCGAGCCGCTCGATCGATCGGGATTGAAAAATTCGTACCTCTCCAACGACATCTCTATCGGCACCGCACCGGTCGGCTCGACCTCCTCCGCAAACACCTGGCTGTCGATCAACAGCAGCCGTACGTGGTTTATTACACCGGACAAGTGCTGGCACACCCTCATGCGCTCTTCCTCGGTCCAGTGCTGCGTGGGCTGCGTAACTCCTGCCTGAGAGAATCGTTCATCGATAGAGTTCACGGTTTAAAAAGTTCACTTAACTTCTGACAAATTACTTCTCGATGGACAAATCGAGGAGCTTGGTGGAGGAATGATTTAAGTCGACTTAAGTTTTCGTATGAAAATTTTACCAAGTTTTGAAATGGAAAATTTGATGAAGCTATAAGATTCCAAGTGCACATTTTACGGATCTGTAGAATGCGATTATAAAGTTTTTAGCTTAGCTTTTATGGTATACTTATGAAAAAAAAAACAACGTAAGTCGACTTAAGTTGACTTCTTCCACCAAACTCCTCAACTAGGACTTTCAAAATAAGAGAACCTGATACTTCGCCCAATTCAGGACCGCCCGCCATACGTCCTCTTCTTCCAAACCGAGATAATCCGACGATATCAATTTTACTAAAGCGTCCTTTGGGAGATTACAGAACGCTGTCGTCTTCACTGTATCCATGGCATTTTCGCTGATAAAAGCGAAACATTTCTCGACAAAAGATGAGCAGGCAGCCTTTCCTCCTAAAACACAAGAGCGATTAAAAAAATTAATAAATATTCTTCTTTTGTGAGTTTATCTCGGAAAGTATTACTTACAACTGCAAGTAAGATTTGAACGATCGTCTGGTTTTCAAATATGGATTATAAAGAAACAAATTAAACTTTTGCTTAATCTTATCAATTTTATTTAATTATGCAGTACTATAATCGTTGAAGCGGATTCATAATCTTTGTAATGAAATGCAAAAATAATTTCTAAAAAGTTTTCGATCTAAATGTTTAATGAGACCAAGAATACACTTTGAAGATTTTACGAAGAACTGAAAAATATTTGTACAGCTTAAAGATTCTTAGCAAGAACAAACCAAATAAACGACAAATATTCCCATTTGTTACTGTTTCTCGCGACATATATTTTCACAGAAAACTTCTTGAAACCGCAGTCTTCATTAAATCACATTGTTTTTTTTTAGATATACGTGTTTAACCTAATCTCAACATTCTCCTTCTTACAATTACTCTTCATACAAACATCTGAATGTTAGGATAGATAAAAATACTTTTGAATATATAATTATTTAATCGCTCATGTACTTCCCGTTTATCCTGTTTGATACTTTTATGTAACACACATTCAGAATGGATTTTCACAAAAGTTATGTTCCAACGAGTCATATAAAATAAATGGACATATTATATGCCCCAGATAGCGCTTATAATATACACGACTATATATATAAATTAAAACTACATATCCATACGCATAAGTTAGCCATCGAAATGTGCGTTCACGCAAAAACACCGAGTGACCTTTTTCTCACAAGACTTAATCGCGTATTCGATGAGAAGGCTCGCATAGAAACTTATATCTAAACAACAAATACAACTGTCCACTGATACATTTATCGATCAATCAAGCAATTTCTTCCGGCACGTTGCAAGAGTCGACGACTCTCGTCGTCTTCCCGCCTCCCTGAGGTCTTCTCTCGTACAATCCAACGGGACAATACGTAGCTCTGGTCTCCGAAGATCAACGCCGTTCAAGAGAAGAAGACTGCCCCGTGCGCGGAGTAAATCAAGCGGCCCACGAAGTCCGCCGGGTTGTAAGGTTAGGTCTCCCCATCCTTAGTTCCCCGTGGGATTAGTATTCTGGATCAACGTGATGTTATCGCCCTTCAGCATGATCCGACCGAGCAGCTTCCTCTTCGTGGTCTTCTGATGATACTCCTCGGCGTCGTCCAGCACCAAGTTCATGTACTCATCGAAGCCAACAATGTGGCCCTCGATCCGCAGATTCACGTTCTCGAACAGCCAAACCTGCACGCGGGACCGATTCTGCAGGTACCGAAATATCAGGTTGATAGGCTGTACCATCACCTTCTGGACTTTCTGCGGCCCCTTGTACGACATTTTCGTGCCGGTGCTTGGTACGATTCAACGACGAACGACGAGAAACGTGCCTTGCGAGCGTATCTTTGAAGCGCGGGCAAGCGTAGGATGCCGACAAATATGGCGGCCACGACCGCGGTGCCAACGTACCGGCGCCGTTCGACCCTAGTCACTTTCGATCCCGCGAAAGTCACTGCGATATAAAAAAAGAATCGATATCTCTGGTAAATCACTGCAATTTATTCGATGATTACTTGAATCATTTCTCTGGCGTCCGCGGTGTTGAATATTATGTCTCGAATATCGCTTCGATGTCAAGCAGTTATTGGCTGCGTTCGGCAGGAAAAGCTGCTTTGCAACTGTTGTAAAATTCGTGAATCTGATTGGTGTGTTCTCTCAATCTTGTGTGAATTTAAGAGCATACGCCAATCAGATTTATGAATTTTACAACAGTTGCAAAGCAGCTTTTTCTGCCGAACGTAGCTATTGCATTCGCTCACATTTGACCGGAAATAAACGCATTTTTAAAGAACTTCTATTTGCAATCGTTTGTGTTTCATATAAAGACGTTTGAAGTGCAAATGAAAAGATTTGTGAGTCACTCGTTTATTTGTAATTAATTATTTTTCTATCCGGCATTTAGATAAATTGAACAAAGCTTTTTTATAGGAAATTGTTTGTATTTTGTACGAAGAGTTATAAAGTGTGATTGAAAAGATTTACGAGTAATTCAGACAGTTTTAATTGCGACACGCGATGCTTTTCACTTGCGTGCACCTTTGCTGGCTGTGATAGCCAATCAGGATGCAATCTTAACTTATTTGACCTATCACGTAGAATCTTGATTGGTTCTCACTAGCCACCAAAGGCGCAAGCAGGCAATTCAGTAAAACAAAATAGTATCATGTGCCGCTGGCTTCGCTCCTGTCGAAGGAAGAGGCGAAATTCGGTAGTTTCTGGTGGATTTTTGCTTCTATAATATTGAATAACTTAAGATATAAGAAATAACATTTCAGCCAGTTCTAGTCAAATAATATTACTCGTTTGTAATTTATCACTGGCGAAGAAAATATCCGTAATATTATCATTGACTTCTACGATGATTTTTCTGGAGATGAATATCGCAAAGGCGAATAAAACAATCCGCGGAATAAAGTTAACGCAAGAATAATTAATCGAAGAGCTCGATCGCGTAGCCGTCGCGTCGTTTAATTGCGCGGAGAATGATCGCGCACTTCCCCCCGTGGCATACGTGCCGGCGGCTCGAATAATAACGCGACACACGGTACGTCTTCTGTCCTTGGCCTTCAGCGGCCGCGGCGGCTCGAGACAAACAAGCGGCGAACCGCGGCGGCTCGAAAAAAACAAGCGACGAGTCGCACCGAGGTCAGAGGACTTGCGTCTCAGTATTATTCAAACTGCCAGTACGAGCACCACGGACGGAACGGCGTGCACGATCGTGTGATTAAGTCTTCGTTTTCCGCGTGCGCACTTCGAAATACGTGAAGCGGACCGCCGAGTCGCCGTCTAGTGTTCGCGCTCGCTTCCTTCGACATAAATTGCGTAGCGAAAAGTCGCGAGTTTGTGTCGATTGTTCGTCATTAAAGAAAAGTGAATTTACGCGTGCACCTGAGAACTTGGCGCGCGCGATATTAAAGTAATCCTCAAGTCGCGTCGTTGACTCGACTCGTGTAGTGTCGTGCAGTTAGCGCCAGGGGCGCTGGATACCGACGCCATGTTGGCCCGTTCAAGAAGCATCGCGGAGCGTCGCGGACACGTAGCGGACCGGGTCTCCTGCGCCGTCGGTCGTCGCGACGCCTTTCACGACGGTGGTGAGTCTAACGCTGGCCAAGTACGGCAATCGCGGCATAGATTATTTGATACTCACGCGTCAGCGAGCTACCGAGACGCGTAAATCCCGCGGCCGGGATCTTTCTCGCAGCCGGATTCTCGCGACGCCGCGGGTATCCGAGCTTCAATTCTAACTCGTATCTCCTCGCACGTGTAGAAATACCCGACTTTTCGACGCGTGACGCGTGGCGAGAGGAATGTTCGCGCGAGATCGCCCTGTTGAACGGTCGCATTCGGTTGCGAGACGCCTCAAACCTCGCGTACTTCCGCGTCCTTCCGGAACGTTCCCGCCGTTTCACGTGACGCTATCGTGGCGGCTCGTATTTCCGTGTGCGATCGTCTCTTTCTGTCGCTCTCGCCTCGATCAGAAATGACTCGTCGATCAACGTCGAAATGATGTCGTATCGACGTCGGAACCGTCATATTTACGTCGATCGACAAATCCTTTCTCGCTGGGGTTCTAACAGAGCTCGCGTCGATTAGTGTCGGGAGTGCCGTGTCTTTCGTTACTTCGACATAATTAGCTTCTCTTTCGCAAGTGCCGCGTTGTGCCGATTGTTGGTGCTAAAAGGAGGAGTCCGAGAGGAGGCGGCGGCCTGGGAGGCATCGGGCGCCAGCGGAGCAACTTTATGGTAAATGTTATTTTTTATTTTGTGTACAATTAACCTTTTTTCCGGTTTGTTGTGTCGTTTCTTTCCATAATTCCATAATTTTAAAATAATAATTAGAGAACAAAAAGTAATTTAAAATTCTCTCAAATTTTATTCTCGTTAAGATTTTTTACGGAAGATCTCTCGCATGACAATTAAGCGAAAAAGTTCGATTCGCATAAAAATTATATTTTGCAATATTAATTTTCCTGAACACATGAACACTACTTTAATATTAATTCATTATTTCTGTTACAGAATCAACAATCTAACTCCGCTGCTGCGCATCGAGTCGGTGAGTAAGAAGTTTTTTACTGAGAAAACAAATCTACTAAGATTCCAGCGCTTCTAACGAGATAAGCGATTCTTATCTCGTTAGAAGCGATTATTAGTTTATCATTGATTAATTCTGAAAGGAATATTGATTTTCTTCCGAGATCGAGAAAACGTATCGATCTAATCATCAATATCTTCGTAACGAAAAGTCGTAGCAAGATGTTTGTGGTGCCATTGGAAAGCTAAGACTCCAGTGTTTTTAACGAGATAAGAATCGTTTATCTCAGATTATTAGTTTGTGAGATATGCCCCATTGATAAAATCCGAAAATAACTTAAATTTTATCCGGAGGTCGAAATTGTGAATTAATCTTCCGATTGGAATCGGCGAGGGTGGTTGAGAGCCTCTACATGGTTAATGTATTTTTATCGGATAACACGTTAAGTCAAATCTAGAAGAGAGGCATTATTTCATTTGTAAAAATGCAAAGTTTACTTTTACGAGAATGCGATCGTAATTATTATCCAATGTAAACGGAGCAATTTTGTACAAAAGAAAATGTTTAAATTATTTTTCAGCGAATAAATTTCTATCGCCAGATAATTATCGATATAAATTGTAAAGTAAATTATAAGACATTGGTAAGATAAAATAAAAGGGGGTGGTGGAGGGCCTCTTATACATACATAATTAAGTGGGTCCGTTTTCACGATATACAAGATGAATCAGAGTGGTTGGGCCAACCTTTTACCGTAGGAGATAGAGTACTGACCGCGACTGTAATCAACTCGGAAAAAAATGGAAAACTTTCGTTATATATTGTAGGTCTCAATCATGCAACATTTAATTATATCTCTCGAGTTATAATTAAATATTACATGATTCAAACATATATAACGAGATTTTCCCATTTTTTCCCGAGTTGACTACACTTGCGGTTGGTAATTCATCTCCTATGGTAAAAGGTTGGTCCAACCACTCCATCAGTGGACACCGAGCATCAGTTATATTGCATTTATGTTACAATTTCTCACTCAACAATGTAAGTGTAATATGACACATGTGTTGAGTGAGAAATTGTAACACAAATGCAGATATGTAATTGATACTCGGTGTTTACTGGGACTGATTCATACAATACATACAATACATGACTGTTTTCTCTGCCAGTGATAAACTATTGGTCTGTTTTTAAGATAAATCCCAAATAGCAATGCTTGTCTAAAAGACATCATAAAAATATCTTTAAAACAACTTTTAGACGTACATATCTAAAAGACAATTTAATGCTAGACATGCATGCTATCTGAGATATACACGACTGATATTTTCTTCGCGAGTGATAAACTACAAACGAGTAGTGTTATTTAACTGGAACTGGTAGAAATTTATCTTAAATTATTCAATATTATAGAAGAGAAGCTACCGATTCGAATTTCACCTCTTCTTTTGACAGAAGTAACTAAATTTCGGCCAACTTCCGAATTGATAAATATTTAATTAATCTGGAGCACTCACAAATTCTTTTAATCACACTTAAAAATTCTGTATACAAAATACAAAACGATTTTCCATAAAAACGTGGTTCAATTGATCTATTCCGACTAACAATAAGTGCCAGGTGGAAAAATAATGAACAAACGACTCACAAATCTTTTCAATTGCACTACAAACGTCTTAATACGAAATGCAAACAATTGCATACATATAGCAGCTATTTAAAAATACGTTTATATCCAGTCAAGTGTGAGCGAATCCGAATTCGCTATGATAGAATCTATTTACAAAGTATTAATTATTTGCAATAAAATCGCGACTTTAAATTAATTCAAGTCGCTAAATTTATCAACTATAAATCTTTAATATCATGCTATGATCGATATCTGTAATATCCCCTGGTATCTTGGTGTATCTAGAGTTGACCAGTCAACAACGGTATTATAGTAACTCCCGCTCTCGTTAGATGGCGATAGTTTATTTTATAAAACTAAAATAATTTATATTTTATCGGACGCTATGCAATTTTAGATTTTACTTTACAGATGCAAGCTATATTCAATTAGATAAACAAAACTTATTTAGTTTTCATGTGTCAGTTATACAAACATAAGTATCCCAGAGAGCACGTAATATTTATGACAAATATTTATAAATATTCATTATTATTTATTTTTAAATATATTGTATAAACATTTTATACATACTTTGTACATATGAAGAAAAAATCGTGAGAACCTTATTCAATATATTATTAAAATAGAGACAAAATTATTTTAAACATTATTTACGATAAGTGGAAAATAAATATGTGTAATAACATTTTGTAAATATTTCCCAAATATTTGCTGGAACCGCCAGTTGTTTCACAGCATTTTTAGCATACTTTTAAAGCATTTTACAATTATTTATAATAAATTTTATAATCTATTTAATTTAAAATTACAAAAATATGTACAAAATATTTCGTATATATTTTATAAGTATTGAGTGCTACCTGGGGTGGTTAATTATGAGAACATGAAAATATATATTTTAAAACATAATAAGCATCAAATATTTTTGTAAGACCGCGGATAATATGAGCTAGTTCAACGTCATCTTTTTCTCTTTTAATAATAAAAAAGTTTCATTGTTTGTCCTTCTTGGTCATGTACGTTTAGTACAAAGAATGAGAACGAGATCGGCCCCATTTTTTTCGCATTCGATTTTGGTCACAAAGCAGGTACCAGACGAAGGGTCTCGTCAAGCTGATTACAGATATGTCAATCTCAAAGTGTACCTATTTAACGTTCCAGAGATATCGGGTTCAAAAAATTCCAAAACCGAGTTGGACTAAAAGGTTTCCTCAATGCTTGAGGCTCTTGACATCGTCCTGCATTTTCTATGAACCTAAGTTTTAGGTGGATTAAGTAATTTTTGGGAACCCATTGGGCAACCTTGTACTCGACTCTAACTCTGTTTTGAAATTTTGGGAGCCCGATATTTCTGGAACGTTAAATAGGTACACTCTGAGATATCTGACATATCTGTAATCAGCTCGACGAGACCTTTCGTTTTGGTATCTACTTTGCTACCAAAATCGAATGCGAAAAAAATGAGGCCGTTTGCCTATGGACACTTGTTCTCTCAATTTTAATTTCGAGGCATACCTCGACGAACGATGCAACTGAAATGTAATCATTATTATTTTATAACATATTTTATTCGCATCGCGATTATTCAGACAAAAGTCCAAGATCTAAAGGTATACGTATGTATATTGCTCTCTCTCGTCACCTTTTGTGTAACTCGCTATTGAAATATTCA